TTCTGCAGAACATATTTTCATCATTTATAAAAAGAACTTTCAACACCAAGATGAGATTGTAACCATAAAACCATACCTCTTCTCGTTCCGTCTTGCACGGAGAAGTCAAGCTGATTTCCTTGGAGATTTTCTGGATGAACGCAGGTTTACAGGCCTGGTAGTTTTTGAGAGGCCGGCAGACCCTCACTTTGATATCTCCTTTAACAGGTCTCCCATGTTTGTGCCTAAACGAACATAAAATGGTTCACTCATTAAAGGGAACCTGAATCCAAAGCATGCAAAAACAATCTGTCTTTTTACTTACTTTCCACATACTTGAACCTCAAACGAATCCTGTCCGAYACTGACTTCTTTGCTTAGAGTTACATGGATGTCAAATTTAGGCAAAGCTGAAAACAAACAGATTTTCCTTTATATGTGATCACAAACAGACAAAGAAGAAAAATAAAAACCAAAATATCTCCAACTTACCGTACTTTTGCACCTTGAAGCTGTGAGAAAATCTTTGTTCACCTTGGTGCACTACAATCCGGTAGAAACCCTCCATGGCCTCAGAGTTCAGATGGTATAACAGCTGTAATATTTTGCTGCTAGATGTTTGATTTACCCACCGACCAATCCAGTTGTTGTCAGGATCCTGTTCAGTGACATTAGTTAGGGGTTGACATCACTGGAAAATCAACATTTTGTGGTAAAATCTTCAAAAATTAGAAAACTTTGATTTGGATTGTTGGATTTTCATTCCAATGATGATCCCAAATCAGCACAAAATTGATTCACTTTGATTTCACTTTTCCCTATTATAGTTTTGATTTTAGAAAAAATGTGTTCTTATTTTCTTAAAATGCTGCTCTTTTCCTGTAAATAATTTAAATCCCAATATTTTGCTGTAAAAATGTGTTTGTGCAAAGAATTTAGAAAACACTAAAATGAACAAAAACACACAAATGGTTTGTGGATGTTTTCTTACCTTGATGATAATTGTGTCATACTGGGAATAAAAAAGAAAAAAATGTTTAACTTGAAAACATTTTGTGGTGTTTTACACAAACAGCAGATTTTTCAGGTTTTAATCATAAAAGTATTTTCGTAAATTTGTTAGTTTGGTTACTGTACTCCACTGAAGTGGGAATGTTGTTGTAGCCTGTGTCTGTTTTATCTGTATTTTTACCATAATATCTTTTGAACTAGTGAACAGATTTTGATGAAACATGCAGACAGTAATCACTCAACCAACTTGGCTATAACTCAAAAATATTTGACAGATTTCGAGTTAAAGTTTCAGCTTGGTAGTAGACCAGGGTGGTTCCCAACACACTTTCTGAGCTCTAACCCTTAATATGAATTTTTCACTTTTATCTACAAAAGTTAACTTTTTCTGTTAGAAAAATATCTCATGACCCACTTGACATATTTTAATAAAGTTCTTATAAAGAGACATACATCAACTGATTACCTTTTAGAGTCAACACCATTCAACAAGCCACCACCAGTAGTAGGGCAGCACTGTTCCATAAATTAGCCCCGCAATTTCAAAAGCACTTATGAGAATCTATAGGTTCACAATTTCAAAAACATTTCAGTCATAGAAAAATTAGCAGAAGCTAATTTTAAAGCTCAAGTTCAATTTGACACAAACTAGCTGACATTTCATGTACAATGTATGCACAACACTGCCAACTAGTAGTGTATGAACCCTTTTACAGCTTAATCCTACAACCGCTGATTGCTGGGGATGTGATTTTCCTGAAACAGACCTTTAGCTCCTGGTGTAAAAATTAAACGTTGTTGAAGATTGCTAGTTCGGCTGATTCTTTAAAAAGTTGTTGAGGATTGCTAGTTYGGCTGATTCTTTAAAAAGTTGTTGAGGATTGCTAGTTCGACTGATTCTTTAAAAAGTTGTTGAGGATTGCTAGTTCGGCTGATTCTTTAAAAAGTTGTTGAGGATTGCTAGTTTGGCTGCTTCTTTGTGTTTTTCTTTTGTTTGTTGTAGATTTTTCATTAAAGAAGCATCAATAAAGTAATTTTAAAACTGTTTATAGGTAAACTGAAGCAATGCATTCTGGGTACATGACAGACTGGCAGGAAACGAAAGCACAGGGAACAGGAAACTAGTATCTTCCCTTCAAAATAAGAGCGTGGATTTTAAAGTTTGTCGTGTTTCCATTGGATTTTAAAGTTTTCCAGTTCACCTGAAACTCATCAGACTGAAGAAGTCTCTTGGAGGAGAGATGAAACATTTCACTAAAGAAGAACCATCCAGAGGACCTACTAATTTTTTCTTTTTGATTTTTTTCGACCTGGATTAGGGCATTTTCTTATAGTTGCTGCAGTTGACCACTAGATGTCAGTCTTCACCAGCATAACATCTTTAAATCATTTCTGAGTCTCTAACCGATTGCTTTGAGCTCCAGCGTTTAAACTTTATTTTTTAAAAGGAGCTCCGATTGTAAAGTAAAATACAAGTAAATCAATACATACAAAATTTTAGTATGGATTACAAACGTTTACTGTTTTTGCTGTTGCCTTCCTGCCACGAAAGCAGACACAAAGCATTGTGGGAAATCAGAACCGTGACCCAAAGCAACAGTCAGCAGGATGTATACCTTCACAATAAGTGTGTTTATCTGGGAGGGGTGCTGTTGGATAGATCACATGTGTTGTGATTCATTGACAGTTATACCTTCTGCTGTTCAAGATAACGATGACTGGTAGATAATTAGTTATTAGCGGTACTGCATTTTTATTTTAGAAAGTGCAAATCTGCTAATGAATATTAATAAATAATTAATCCACTAATGCGCAAATGAAATATTTAGGTCTGCTATTAGCAAATTTGCACTTTAATGGGCTGGTGCCCACCACTGGCCGCCATAAATAATCCAAATCAGTCAGAATGGTTATATTTCTGTCAGTTTTACAAATACTGAGCTAAATGTGGTGTGGTGCAAGCTGTCAGTCATTGTGCAACATATTTGCTTAAAACCTGAACAATGTTAAAACTAACAATAACTCTGCTGATCCACCTTGGCCAACACAGAAACAGTTGTAAATCATTCAGTTTGAAAGATTTTGAGCAACAGCTTCATGTGGTGATTGCTGAGATTCATCCTCTACATCTCTCAGGTCTAACATGTCACAAAACATCACAATATCACACATAAAGCCGCTGAGCAGGTTTGACCAAAACAGTGCCATCATTTCTCATCATAAACCATTTCAGTCAAAAACAACGGGATCAAAGAGGGTGGACGATATGTATTCCTTCCTTCTGATTAGTTCATTTGTTCCTGGGGGCTCACCACCTGCAGCAGGGGCCATATGAGTCAGGTGACTGACATCATGTGTGGTGGTCAGGGGCAGGTGGTCTGACCCTGGCTTACCAAAGCTGGCTCTTGGGACATAGAATGTGACCTCTCTGGTGGGGAAGGAGCCTGAGATGGTGTGTGAGGTTGAGAGCTAGATATGTATAGTTGGGCTCACCTCGACACACAGCATGGACTCCAGAACTGATCTCCTCAAGAGGGCCTGGACCTTATTCCACTTTGGAGTTGCCCATGGTGAGAGGCGCCGAGCTGGTGTTAGTCTGCTTTTGGTCCTCCGATTTGGTGCCTGATTTTGTGCCTTTTGTGATTTTGTGGTGTTCTTTCGACCTCAATAAGTGATGTCATCGGGAGGTGGAAGGAATACTTCTCAGACTCAATCCCACCATCTTCTATGAAGGAAGCAGAGTCTGGGGACTTCAGAGTTGGTCCACTCATAATTGGGGCTGAGGTCACTGAGGTAGTTAAAAAGCTCTGGTAATTGGGCTCCGGGGGCGGACAAGATCCGTCCTGATTTTCTCAAGGTGGAAGATAATGGATGGATGGATGGATGGATGGATGGATGGATGGATGGATGGATGGATGGATGGATGGATGGATGGATGGATGGATGGATGGATGGGTAATTCTTTGTTGCAACAGTTTTAGAATGAGACATGTCTAACTGTAGGAGTGATTCTGTTTTGAGGGCGAATTTTGACCAGAATCTAAAAAGTTTTAAAGTCACACTGATCATGAAGGTGAAGAACAAAAAGTGAAAAAGCCTAAATACTCACCCGTTCTTCGGCAGGTTTCAGCTTGGAGTCCAGAGTGACCGCCCTAATATTCACTGAGAGGAAGACAAAAACATTACATAAAATTTAACTCAACAGTTAATGTTCTTCTCTCCTACCCTTCCTTATCTTTCCCTGCTTTGCTGCTTGGAGCCTTCTCTACATTTTTCATCCAAAATAAGAAATAGTGGATTTTTTTTATTTTTATGGATTTGGTTTTCTGGTCTCTCAATAAAATTCTTGGAACAAAGTTTTTTCTTCTTCCATGGGAGGACATGTCAAAGGTGGGACCTCTGTTCTTCTCCATTCTGGATTTATGTCTGGACTCAGATTACTGGATTCTACAGATTGGCTTAGTGGTCTCCTGGGGTTCTACAAATCAGCGTCGGTGGCTTTTTATCTCCTGGCTGACTGACCAGTTCGATGGATGGCCGTATTCTATCAGAACTCGGACATTGTGTCTTGAGCGAGTCGGACTCAGTCTGCAAGCGGTTCTATTGAGGGTCGCGGGCTGGCTGTGGTCCCTGGACTTTGCTGGCCAGATGGAATTGATCTAGGAGGAAGCTGATAGATTCAGGCTCAGTGGAATTTGTCCACACCATTTGCCTGATTGGATTCACCACCTTGACATTTACCAGCAGAACTCTAAACCAGATGGAAAATTATCGTCTGCTTGTCTCTTCTGTTCCCAAAACGACTGATTACAGATTCTGGATCTCCCCGACAATGGCCTTGGATCTGTTGACTAAATTCTTCCTGGCTGGATGTGTCAACAAGGCTCTGCCCCCCACCTTCCCCCATCCTCTCTCCCGTCTAATCTGCTTTTCCAGAGCTGGCTGAAAGCTGCACAGAAATGAACAGTTTTCCATCAATATTTCTGAAATATGGCTGTGCTGGTTTTGGGGACTGGATTCTTCGGGCCCCTTAAATTCACTTACTCCTCTGGCTAATAACTTGCTCAATGCGGAGGTTTTTTCATAAACACCATAGTGTGTCACAGTGTTGATATAATATGATGTTTTTGCTTTTATCCTCACCTTCCCTTCCCTTGTGTGTTTTTCAGCTTTTCTTTGTTTCTAAGTTGGTGCCACGGCAGGCAGCCTGTTACTCCAACTCCACTGTCTTGAGCTGCTGTAATGTTCAAATTTCCCCACTGTGGGATCAATGAAGTTCTATCTAATCTAATCTTATCTTATCTTTTGTTGTGATTCCTTACTGTAACCAAAGACAATGATGATGATGTAAATAGAGCTCACGACGTGTTTATGAATATTTCAGGAGCTCTGCGTGAAAATAATTGTGTGCAAAACATATACAAAGAGAAATAATGTGGACAATCCATGGATGACAAAAGGGATGAGAAATGCTTGTAAAAATATTAYTTGTATTCATGCTTCTTGAAACTGAGAACAAAAGAAGCAGAAGAGAGATATAAGAAGTATAAAAATAAGTTGTCATGGAAGACAGGAAAGCATAAGAAGGAATGTTACAGTGATTTATTAAACTAAAGTAATGGTGATATGACAGCAACATGGCGAGTAATGAATAATGTTCTGAAAAAAAATCATAAAGTATAATCAGGTATTTCACATTATTGTAAAGGAATTTATAAATGGATTTAATCTTGTTTTCTGAATGTTAGCCCAAGTCTTGGAGCTAAAATACCAAAAACAGATAATAATGTGAGTCATATAGGGCGGCTGTGGTGGAGGGGAGCTGTCCTGGAACTGGAAGGTTGCCGGGTCAATCCCCCATCCAGCCGTCTCAGTCGTTGTGTTCTTGGGCAAGACACTTCACCCGCCTTGCCTACTGATGGTGGTCAGAGGGTCCGGTGGCGCCGATGCATGGCAGCCCCACCTCTGTCAGTGTGCCCCAGGGCAGCTGTGGCTACTATGTAGCTTACCACCATCAGTGTGTGAATGTGAGTGTGAATGGGTGAATGTCTGTAAGTGTAAAGGGCTTTGGTCCGTGTACATTCAGGCAGTTCGTGTTTTCATTTGAAACAAAACGTCAAAAAAGCACTTGTTTTTTTGTTTTTCTTTTATTGAACCAAAACAAAAAAACAGATTACAAACCGGTCAGTGTATCTGTTGGTCATTGGATTTTCATTTTCGAAACGGTATTAAAAAACAAGAAACGATTGGATATTTGATTTTTGTTTCAAAATACTGAAATTAAAATGAAAATACAAAGCGTTTCTCATTCTTAGTGTCAAAAGGGGATGAGCAAAWTTTTTTAAATGATTTGAGTTTCATTTTCTGTTTCAGATAGCATAAAAGAAAATTACTTTAAGACAGAAACAAAAAAAGGCTTGTTTGTTCATAATCCATGACAGGTCGTGCCAATTTACTGTCTCCCTACAATAATCTGTTTCACCAGCAGGAGGGGTGTCTGCAGTATCAAAGTTATTCAATGAACATCACATTAC